AGTTATTATTTATGTAGGTACAGGTTTAGTTGGCCATGTGTTTATTATATTATAATAAAAATCTTGATACTCTTCTGGCACATAGGTCACTAAATTTTGCATGTGCTTTATTTTTGAAGGTAAAATCGGAACTCGATATTCGGGATAGGCTTTTGGTGTAGACATTTTAATAATATTATTTGGGTTCTTCGGATTATTCAAAACAAACGTGTTCACCATAGAGTTATTATTGTTTATAAATTCAAATGTTTTTATGATTCCGGGTGTCTTTGAATCATGCTCAAAATAATGAAACTTGGAAATTGTAAAATCAACTTTATTGGTCTTCTTAGCAGATTTAGATTCCATAGAACAAATTGGTTTTTTTATAATAAGTTATAATTTCGTCTCGTACTTGCTTATATTATTTTTGTGTACTCATGAAGAGAAATTTTTTTATTAAACATCCGTAATTTGCTCGGTCACAAGGAAGGAAGGAACGAATGTCATCGTAGTGGGTAGTACTGTAGAATTTTATCAAACCTCTTAGTCTCTACAAAAGCCAAACACATTCTGATGGTTCTTGTTCTGCCCTGGACAGTCATCACAGAATAATCGTAATTCTTTTGATTTTGGGTCTACGACATTATTGATGTAGTCAAGTAGAAAGGAGCACACCACATCAGGGCCTTTATTTGCCTTCATGATAAATATAATAAAATGATTTACTAGTACCAAGGTTGTGTATGCAAAAAATATTAACATTGAGTTGTACTGCATAAAACAGGTCTTGAACAGGTACTTCCGGCAAATGAATAAATGAACGTTCTGAATAAAATCAAAGGCGATGCCGGTAATAGTATCTTCTCTTTGGCGATCTTCAGTGCTTTGGCTTAAAATATTATAAAAAATTTTAGCCCTCCTTTTATGTACTGCTAGCTCCGCTTCAGCAGCTTTTTTAGCAGCATCACCTAATGAGGTGCTTTGTATCTTCAAATTTAATGATTCGCAGGTGATACATATATCAACTTGAGTCGGCCGAAGTGTAATGTAAAATGCTCATTGCATGTAATATGAGTATTTTACTTTAGAATCTGGATGTTTTTCCATAAATAATTCGTACATTATTTTCACATTTAGCCTCGAATCCAAGTAATAATAGTCTCGGTTAGAATAATGGGTCTCCTTAAAAGGCAATGATGCTATGTACGAATACGTCGAATTTCAAATTCTGGCAGTTTGATTATACAGATTTGCCTCTGTTATCACGAGGGGTCGTGTTCGTTTCTAATAATAGTTTGAGTCTCTTAACGCGTTTCACTGTTACTGCATGTAAGCTTAAAAATGTTGCTAGGCAAACCTTTACTCTCTGATGATTAAGTGGTACAAAATGAAAATAGGAGTTCGATTTGTTGTTTCCACCGGGATTTCTTGCACGTTTTCGGGCAAGTGGTCTTCTCTCAATCAAACCTTGCAGATATATATCCTGCTCATCTTTTGTTTCAAGTTGGTACAATTTATTTGAAATTAAAATTTTTCATCGTCAGTAAGCTTGCTAAAACATTTCATAGGACACCTAAAATAATTAATTGAAGTTATAGCATCTAAGTCTTAATAATTTTTTTCTGAACTTACCTGTTTGGTTGTCCAATGCTTTTAGAATTTACAAAAGCATCTTTGTGATTATTGTGTTCTGGTCCTTTTACTCTTGATCTTTTTATTACATTTCTTTTATACGTGGTATCGTTTCTTATTCCTTTATGACGCTTTAAAGGTGGTTCTTCTTCGATAATTTCATTTTCATCCATGGAAGGCAATAACCAACACTTCTAGCTGCTTAATAATAATATTATTATTTTTGTTGACTATTAAACAGGTATCCAAAAATAAATAATTAAGTAAACAACCTATTGCAAGTCGTAACACAAGCTATTATTAAAATTTATGTTGCCATGCGCAAGACATTTTATTTGCAAAAGGAACTAAGTGTGTCACTTAGTTCCTTTTAGCAATAAATACCAATACTACCGCTAAAATAGTACACAAGCAATATAGTTAGACGGTTTCTTCTTACACCAAACGAAAGGAATATCTTCAAAGTTTCGTTTCATGTTTTAGAGTCGAAAACATAAAAATGTGACTTAGTTCCTTTTAACAATAAGCGATTCAATTGTAAGCATTCAAATTAAATTATATTGAAATTTAAATTAAAAGTATATTTTTAAATGTAAAATGGGTGCAGAACCAGATTTTATGGTTGATGTAGTAATGTTGAAATAAATATAAGCAATTATATACCACCTCTTATAATTATCAAAGAACAAATTCTGAAACAGAAATTTTCAAACGTTTTACGAATATTACAAAGAATAGAACATGAACTAGAATTAAGTAAATATCAGGTACATATTTCATTGAAATAAATTTTGAATTTAACCCTATTTTTTTTTAAATAATTCCTTGACTCCAGTAAATCAGTTACTTTTAACAATGCCTACTAGTAGAATTTGTTATCTTTTGCAGATTTTATACAATGCGCCTTAGAAAATTTAATACTTGTTTGTGTTACAAAGTGAACTGAAGCTGTCAAAATTCTAACCTCTATTCTTCTTCTTATTCTTCTTCTTTTCCTGAGCCGTGTTACTGTGAACAATTTACCAAGATACAGTTGACTTGGGGTAGTTTACTTCACTTCTAAATGTTAAATTGTAGATTCAAAACCTGTTAGACAGGGTAAAAAAAGTTTACTTTAGACCATAATCACTTACGTATTTTTTAGTAGAATATAATTTTTCTTTAAATCAAGAAGAAAATTTGTTTTAAATTTGTCATTGTGCTGCGTTAATAAGTAGTGCCATCAAGTAATGAATAAAGCATTAAAATGCATTTGTGGGATACGTAAGAAAATTTACTACACTAACTTGTACACCGCTTAGATCATAAATGATAATTTATGCATCGTAAACTGTCTTCTTAATTGCATTATAAAGTCAAAAGTAATTATTATTTATTTACATTACAACGCGTAGCAAGGAAATATGCATTGCAATGTTATACAAAACGAAGTTATTGTTTTTTTATGTGTTTTATTGTAATTCAATGTTACATTTATCTATTTGCTTTGATTTATTTTGTTTATATTGTTATAACGTATGCAGAAAAATTATAACCTCATTTATATAAGGTAAAACTGACATATAAATATTTTGAATATAAACACACATGGTTCAATTTGAGTGTTTAAGTTATCTAGAATTTTTAAAAAATGCTTAATACTCTATAGTCTTTAAAGTTAGCATCACTTATATTTTTATTCAATTTTTGATTATTTTTCATTTCTTGAAATCGCCTCGTAAAATTTGCGTGCAACATTTTATTAAAAAAATGGTTTACAAGAAAAAGTTAATTATTTTTTATTATTTACGAAAAAACACTTTCCAAAAAGTCTTTGCACAAGTGTGTGTGAAAACTACAGAGAGTTAGCATTAGACGAACAGGAAACGAATAATATCAGCGATGCCAGTTTATACGGACTGCCCTACGTTATAACGGGGTCGGACCATATATATTGGCAACACTGCTATTATCCGTTTCCTGCTCTCTGTAGTTTTTATATGCACTTAAAAAATGTTCAGTGGCCGACACTGTGAAATTTAAAGTAAAGTTTCGCATAGATAAATTTTTGCTTTTTGTCCACAATGAGATATACACACAACCAAACTTACATGGAATCATCTATTATTTTTCATAATTTTTAAGTTGTATGAACATTTTTTGTTTATGAATAACACTCAGTCCTTACCAAAGACTTTTAATAACAAATAACCCACACAGCAATACAAATAATCAATTAGTTGACAAAATAAACACAATGGTATTTTTTTGGTTGCTGAATCAAAATGAGATTTAAATTTTTAATAGTCAAAAAGCAAAAACAAAAAATTGGTAATATTAACAATACGTGTTACCACCTCTAGCCCTTATGCAAGGTTCTATTCGCCTTGGCATGTGTCTTATTAAATTGTCAACATTGTCTTGGGGTATGCTTCCACATTCTGCTAATGCTGCATCAATAAGCTGTGCAACATTTTCTGCATTGCTTCGACGAGCTCTAACACTTCTTTTGAGCTGGTCCCACAAGTGTTCGATAGGATTTAGGTCTAATGAACATGCAGACTAGTCTGAAACTGTGACACCTTTCGTTTCAAGACATTCTCTAACCACTCGGTTGGTATGGGGAGGTGCATTATTGTGTATAAAGATAGAATTATTCCTATTGCAGCTCCCCAAAGCCTAAAGATTGGTTCTAGCACTACATTAACATATCTCGGATCGGTTAAAGTTTGTTGAAGTGTTAACAATTGAGTTTTGCTCCCAGCATAGAACATTACAGTTTATCCTTGATATCTTGGGATAGATCTGGAACTCTGACAATCCGAACTGGATTGTTATCTAATCATAGGCCAATTCTGGTCTCAATTGAAAAAAAAACATTTTGCCAATTCTCAATTGTCCAGTTTTATTAGAAATAAATTCAATAGGTCCGTATTTTAAAAACTAAAGGTGATAGAAAAAATCTGCTTGCAGTTTTAGAATCATCACATTAAATGTATCTAAAATAAGTTCTTCGATTTCCGGCACCAACAAAACTTTTTTTATTTTGTTAGCTTATTTTATAGCATTGAATAGACTTGAAAAACTGTTGAAATTACTTTCAGAAAATAAAATACAAAAGACAGGTCCGTATTTAAAAAAATAATCCTGTTTGTGACCCTTCAGACAAGAAACGTATTGACTTTTGTTGAATATAAAGAAGCCAGAGCCAAAAATAGAAAAAAAAGTCTATTTATTTTTCTTCAAATATCTCGTAAGCTGGACCTGATAACTTGAATTTGAAAATATCAGTAAATTGGCAACATAATTTGAAAACTTTGTATCTCTAATGACTTAGAAATCAAAATAGTCGCAAGTCACAAATCTTTATATATTATTTGACTAAGTGATCTTTTTTTAATTTTATACTCTCATTGGTCAAAAATTTCAGATACACCTAAATAAAAATGGACGAATACGATCGCGAATCGCATGCTCACAACAATGTACATCATAGAAATCCACATCAACAACGTGCAGAATACTTAAAAAAGCCGCCAATCATTCAGGTCGCCGAATCGCCAGAAGGATCGGTGATGGATCAATCACAAGCTGAAATTCTTCATCACCATGACAATTTTTACCATACAACTAAAAGTTTATTGATACTCTTTCAAATAATGGGAGTAATGCCGATCGAAAGGGAGGTGGGACGAACTACGTACAGGTAAAATACAATATTAATGTTCTGTATTCATTTTAAATATATTTATTATATAGTCTGTAATACGATTGCCTATTGAACCCTGGATTGCAAGTAACTTTCTAATAATTTCACTAAGTAGTTTGGAAACCCGAATTTCACTAGTTTCCTTAAAAGCAAATCATGGTTCACCGTGTCAAATGCCTTCGAGAAGTCAGTATAAATTGAGTCAACCTGGCACCCCCTCTCGAAGGCAGAAATGATATGTTCGTAGAGCAGTTAATTTGTATTAGTAGACTTACCTCCCATAAACCCATGCTGCTGTTCAATCAAAATGTTTTTGCAATGCCATGACAAAGGTTTGTATAACAATAATTCTAATAATTTAGGTATTGCAGAAAGTAAAACTACAGGGCGATAGTTAACTATGTCATCTTTCTGACCATTATTAAATATGGGGGTAATGAAACTATAACGTCACTTTGCAGGAAACTGTTGTAATTCCATAGAGGAATTAAATAAAAACTGCAGTGGTTTGGAAAGAGTGAATTTACATTTTTTTAAAAAATAAGCAGGGATTCCATCTGTACCATAACTCAATTTATCTTTTAGAGAGTTAATACCATCATAAACATCATTTAAGGAAAACTGTATAAAGGGAATATCAGACTGGTTAAAAGCATTATAATGAAGGTTTGGCTCATCTACAATATATTTCTTATAAACACTGGACAAATGCGTAGCAAACAAATTACTGATTTTTTTCCCATTATCAGCAATTATACCATTATAATACATTCTATTGGGAATACCATGGTCTTGTTTCAAAGAATTAATGTGGTTCCAGAAGGATTTTGTATTTTCACAAACCTTCAGATCTATACCAGAAACATAATTTTCATAATTCAGTTTTGATAAATTTTACATTGAGACCGAAGGTTAGAAAAATTTAAGTAATCAACAGCTGAGCGAGTACTTTTAAATACAGCATGAGCTGCCTTCTTGCGAGAAATCAACTTTTTAAGTTCAGCTGAAAACCATCTAGGGTATACTAATGGTTTATATCTCCTAACAGGTATAAATAAAGCTAATGCCAATTTTAAAATCTGATAAAAAATTTCAGCACTAACATTAATATCATTATTGACTAAAATACCCTCCCAATTAATTGGAGCAAAACAATTATTTAAAGCTACATAATCCGCTTCTTTAAAGTCATAAAAAACAATGTCACAAGTCAAGGGACTAATATCACTGACAGTTAATTCACATGAAATTGCAACATGGTGGAAGTTATTAGGCAATAAGGTGTTTACAGCTGTCTCGATTGTAACCGAATTCCTAGCGTCATTGTTACAAAAACATAATTCAAGGAATATACCGAGCTGATTTGGAATTCCATTGGCCTGACTCAAATTTAAGTAGGAAAAACTCTCACTAATTATTACGGCTGGGTATTCTACAGGGAAAGAGACAGAGAGACCATCATCATACGAATAATTCCATGAAACATGTGGAAGATTATAGTCCCCAAAAAGGTATAGCTTATTGTTAGGGTTGTTTTCCACTATATGCTTAACAGCAGAACAATGATCAATATAAGCATTATGATTTAACCCTGGTGGAATGTAGACAGCGCCAAAAATAATAGTTTTATTATTGATCGACAATGAAATGAAACAAATAAATGTTTAACATTAGTAAAATGAGTAGTAAGATGTGATGTTTTATATTTACTTTTAACTAAAATCAAGACACCACCACCTCTGGTTCTTGAGCTAGTATGTATGTTCCTGTCTAATCTGAAGACCCTGTAACCGCTAAAGCAGAGTTCATTATCCTTGAAATTATCAGTCAGCCACGACTCCACCAAAACAATAACATCATATTCACATTGGGCAATTGCGGTACGTAATTCAACAAGCCTAGTACGAATGCCACCAACATTCTGGTAATACACCGATAATGAAGAGCATTTTAGTTTTTTGATGAAGCGTTTTTTGCAATAATTGGCACACCCCGCATATATTTAATTGATAAGTCAAGTTCATCATTATCTTTTCTTTCCTTAAGTTCAGACATAACCTCTTTTAACTGATCTTGGTAGTTTTATCGTAACTAATTTTAATTCCATCAGTAAGCTATTTTTTAGACCTCATTGCATTCTTTACAATAAATAAATTTGTGGTAATAACTTTAATAGGTCTGGATCTGCCCTGGGCTATCTTGACAACCCGTATAACTTTGAGCACATCACTAGAATTAAAGCCCAATTGATTAAAAACAGGTACCAAACTAGCTATATCATTATCAATCCGTTCTTGCAATTTAATACTAGATGAATCTTTAACATTGTAGACCAACAAGTTGCTTGCTCGAGTAATGCGCTCATGAATTTCGTAAGATACTGAGTCAGAGTTTAGCGAACTGGAGCCCTCAGTTTTTAAAGTTTGAATTTTCTCTTCAATGCTGGTAACTTTGTCCTCCAAGGAATTAACTTTGCTCTCTAGAACAGCTAATTTATTTATCAATAGAGGAATTTTCTTGAAGGAAGTTTTGCAGTCTACACAGAAAAAGATCATTGAGCGTTTTTGAACAACAATTGAACGCTGCTCACTGGCACACAATCCGGAGCACTTTTCTTTCAAATGGAAAAAGACCCCAACAGATATCGCAACGGGGCGCCTTTCCATCATCGACAATATTAAGAGAGCATTTCTCGCATTTTGGAACTTTTGGCATCTTAACCTCAATGTATTTACACTAGTGAAAACAAGCAGAATGATAGTTCTTTGCGAAAAAATCAGATTAGGATAAACGGTACACTTTAATTATATTATCCAGCAGTTTTTGAGTAATTTCTTAAATTCTAAACTCTCGAAAACACGAAATTTTATAGACCCAAATAACAAGCATGTGCACAGTTTTTAGGTTAGGACTTACATTATTTAATTTACTTACATAATAATATGAAGCCTAACAGTATCCTACAACATTTTCATGGCTTACCTTTCTTACTTTTTCGCTACACAAGGGAAGTAAGAAAGTAATAATATTGAATTAAATAATATTCCATTGCTTTTTTAGGTGGACATCTGCAACAAATGTTTGGGCCTATTTCATATTTTCAGTTGAGACCATATTCGTCACAATTGTTTTTCAAGAAAGGCTCAAGCTAGTTTTACTGCCTGGTAAACGTTTTGATGAATACATTTATGCTATAATATTTATAAGTATACTTATCCCCCACTTTCTTCTGCCAATTGGAGCATGGACAAATGGATCAGAAGTGGCTAAATTTAAAAATATGTGGACGAAATTTCAAGTAAGTAATTTTTTTAATGGATTTATATTTTTTTAACACTATATTTACATAGGGTGGGATGAAATTTATTTCACGGGAGACACATTCTAAACAAAACAATTCAAATAATAAAGTATTAAGGATGACACATCATTAAAAAGGTAATTTTATAGGGCATTCAGCAATTATTGCGTTACTTTTAATTTTAGGGTTCCATCTAGCAGGATAAAAAAAACTGTTGCGAACTGTAAACTGTAATGCTTCATTTGAAAAAAAAAAAGTTGGTATAATTTAATGCATAGTATTAATTTAATATTTTGGTTGATTGCAATTAAAGTAAACTTGATTGAACGTTAAAGCTCTACAATATTTTTCATTTAATTAGGTTGATGTTCCATTTAATTATTATGTTTTGAAAGCTAATTTAATGCACAGTATAACAAAATATATTTGAAAAAATCATATTTTTAAATAATTGAAAAAAATTTAAAGTTAAAATTAAATCAAATTAACTTAATTCGCAGATTTTATCTCATAGAGGAATTAACTTCTTTATATACATATTCATATTTTTGAAGTTTAGATATATACTCCTTCATTAAAATGTGGACTTCTTTGAGAATTTTATTAGTAAAAACTTAATACCTGATGCCAATTAAAAAGCTTTGACGATTCTCAATAGAACGTGTTTGTATTTAAAGTTTAATTTAAAGTTAACACGAAATAATTACGAAAACTTTCTGTATATATATTTCTGTTTATTAGTAAAATACCATGTTTCTAATTTTAATTACTTTTATCGTTTTGCAAAATGAAATAAAATATAAATTAATATGAAAGTTAGAATGAACTGAATGTAAAACATAAAATCTATAATAAAATGCTATATCGAGGTAAAACCACCTAGAAGGATGTTCTATTTCTCAAACTACACGTGAACCATTTTACTTTCTCTTGTAATAAAAAAAAAACGTACGTGAGTAGTAGAGCCCTAGACTGGTACAAATGACTATTAGATTAATCATCGCATACATGTAATAGTTTCACCCCAGAAGAGTTAAACCATTTGAATATTCTTAAGTTTTTTAGTGCTTCCTGTAAATTTAAAATAAAATTAATATTTAATATCAACAAAAAGAATATTTCTACCCGTTCATTTCTTCTTTCGCCACTCATCCAAAACCTGATCCAACTCCTATTTTGTCTTTTCCTCTTCTTCCTACTATGCCTTTTGATTTCTGCCTTCTACTTTGCTTCCTGATTTCTATTTTGCGTCTTCTCCTTTCACTGTTCTCTCCCGTCTCCTTCTCTAACTCCTTTTTTTCTCAGTATTCCTTCCTGCTATCCGATTCATGCTTAGCTTCAATTTAAATAAAACTTTCTGGCCTTTTAGGCGTAGTGTATTTTAATACTCATATTGCACTCTAAGGATTTGAGACTAATAAACATCTTCTTAACCATTTCAACATAGTTTTGAGCTTTATGTTTGCCTAGAAAATTTTCTACAACTGCAACAAATGATGTGTAAGCTTCTCGTTCAACTTGATTCATTGAATTTATGTAGGCAGGATCCTTAATTAATTGTCTTATTTGTGGGCCGTCAAATATCCTTGCTTTGAGTTTTTCTGTGCTCAACTGATGCATTTTTACCCCTATATGCAAAACATGATGACCCATTCTTATCAAGAGCCTTTACAGATTGCTTCATTAAGCCCAACGGAGGAAGTATGATTTTTTCTCTTAATGACATTCTTTTCCCCAATGTCCATGTTTTCTCTTTTAGGCCAATATTTTCTAACCCAGTGGTGTGTTTTGTCCCTACTATCCCAGAGGCACAAGAAACACGGATATTTCGTATAACCACTTTGTTGCCCAAGAAGAAAGTTTACCATTTTTAGGTCTACACAAATCATCCATTGATGTTCGTGATACTTTATCTTTTGCAAGACCAAAGCTACGATATTATATTCTTCTTTCAGTTTCGTTGAGTGAGCTAGTGGTATTGAACCATATTTATTCCCATTATGTAGAAGGACACATTTTAAACTTCACTTTGAACTGTCAATAAATAGGCGCCAATCATCTGGAATATATTCAGAAAGTCCCATTTCTTTCATGAGTCCATTAATTACGTGACAAAATACAAGATTGTCTTCTTGAGAAAAGAATGGTAGCAGATACTTTTCTCTTGTACGGTAAAAGGTAATTTTGGTTCCTTGTTCCAATAAATTTTTGTCGTTCAACCTAGAAGCCAGTACTTCAGAAGCTTTTTTCGATAAATTGAGATCCCTGGTGAGATCATTTAATTCATTTTGATTGAAGCCTTGAGGAACTGATGACGTCTTCTCATAGTCACAGTTAGTTTCATTAGCATTAGAACTTTTATTAGCATCAGAACAGCGATCAGAGGGAAAATATTCGTCATCAGAGATATCTGGTAGCTGATGAAATGTTGGAATCGGTATTTCATCTGAGTGCGGGATAGGGCGCATTGCCGAGTCTACATTGGGATAAGTCCACTTACTGCGGTTATTTCGATACATTCCTTTAGTATTTACTAAACAGAAATAAGAATCATTGAAGTGGTTTTTTGGTTATCTCCAAACCATTGGTACGCCGAATTTTAGACATTTTATTTTCCCGGTAGTCCGCTGCCGTAAATGCTCTGTACAAGTTTTACATACGAGATGCGGGGCCCACTTTTTGTCCTGATCACCAAGGTTAACTCCAAAATATCCAAGATACGCTCGCTTTACAAAGTCAGTAATAGTTTGGTTGAAACATGTATTCTCCGCATATATAGCAAAACACATCAAGTTTATTTACACAACTTCTTCTTGAACTGAAACCTGAACTCATTTTAATTCTGTTCAATAACACGAAAGCACTCTTTTTTTTCTTAACATAAAATAACACGCCGAATTCGATCTACTATCATTAGTAAGAACGCACAAACTGACGAGACTTACCCGAGTTAGGGGATTAAAAGGGTCAGTTCAGGTACTTGATAGGCAATGGTTCCACTATCTATAGATTTACCTGGAATTTACTCAATTACAGACCGACAATAAAACCATTGTACCTACATTAATGAATATATAATAATTTTAGAACTCTCATAAATGAATATACTGAATAAAAACCACATTGGTAGATAAGTTGATGTATCTAAAAAAAGTAGAGCTGATAGAGAAAAATGGATTTAGCGTCCCAAATATAGTTAAAATCAGCTCTAAAATGCCAAGCACAAAAAAAAATATTTTTTTGTTGCCCTGTGTAATATAGTTAAATATATAGATTGCTCAAAGCGGGTCATTTTGTGAGCGTCGATATTGCCTCGTATGTGCTCATTAATCAGAATTGGTTTAGCAAGAAGGTATTTAAAAAAAAATCATTACCGACATTTTTACTTCAAGGCATAAGCTTATGTTTATTTTGAAAAATATGAATGATCAATCTATATAAATATCTATATCATTGACCCTGTCAAATCATCAGAACCATAGGATTGCCATATCATAACCCACTGGCAGCCATTTTGTCTAGAATGCCTAATAATTAAATAAGTACATGCTAAGTAAATATAACGTATGAAATAAATTAGATGTTAAATTGATTATATTTGATTAAAATAATTCTTGTTATTAATTAGTCGTATTTTAATAAACAAAATATTTAGATTATGTGTTATATTCTTGGAAATTGTAAAATAATCCAGAAAACTCCATTTGCTTTTGCATATTTTTAATATTCGTAAAAATAACCTCACCGTCGAACATTATTAACAAAAATTGTCAGTTACGGGGGTATATCAAAAAATATTCGGTATATTGACTTAAAATGTCATTAGAAACAAGTTTATCTAATAACTTTTTTCATATATCAAACAAATGGTCATTTTGAACAATTTTGCATAAAAATCGCGAATTTGACATTTAACTAATGTCAGTAGCCAACTTTGATATGGGCTGTTTTAAGTTTTTAAATAAGCAGAAGTGATTACCCTACGAGGTTCTTTCCAGTCTCGATATTAAAAAAAATTCCCATATGGATCCAACTTTATGACACATACTATATTAAAAGTTACGTAATAAACATATTTGAAGGTTTTCCCTTTGCTAATTTACTTTAAACAAACTTTAAGCGAACTTTAAACGGAGTTCTCTTAAAAAGTGATTTTCTTGAATTGATGTGTATACATCATGCACTTCGCATGAAAATCGAGAGAAAATATGTACCTATTTCTCTTGGTCAAAACACGTTGAAGAGCACCCATCATATTAGGAGAACAATGTGCCGTTATCAAGCGGAATCACAACGCAATTTTTGAAATCGTATTTTAAAATCAAATGGATTTAAAGAGCTGTTATTTATATTCATATTCTGAATTTCCCCCAAAATTCTTTAGCTTTTTAAAAATGTAACAGACTTTTTGATTCGGGATATGCTTTCATAAATTCTATTAAGATTTTGTTTTGTACTTTAATAATGGGGGCGATTGGGCTTTTGGTGTTTGATCCATATTAATTTTAAAAGAGAATTTTATCTTGCCAGTAGGCTAGGATTAATAGAAAATAATCTATTAATTGAAAATAATCCATTATCGATTTTTTTTTAATTTTAAAAATCATTTTGCTCACCCCTACTTGCCAGCATTGTATCATGAAGTTATGATAAATAATTTATTTATTTTTTTTTTTTTTTCGAAAAAGCTAATATATTATAAAATCTGCATACTACTGGTTAGATAATTCAAAGAACTTTACGATAAGGTACTCATCAAATGTTATGGTCGAGTGATGAAGTGACGATGCTGAAAATAGAAAAAGATTATCCTCGAATGCCATGTGGATCAGGCGGACAGAGAAGGTCCTCCCAGGAATTTAAATTTATACAATTGGTCTAGTGAAGGCTAAGTGATGTGGGGGGCAATTCACCTTCTTCGCCTTATTCACACCTCACAGTTACAGTTAGTTCCAGATTTACTCCCAAATAAAATTAAAATCGCCAGTGTTTCTCTACACATACGCTATTATTAAGATTATCACCCAAAACTTTTATGTAAAATTTTCGTATAAATAAAATTATTTTATAACATTTCATGACAAATTATTTTTATTTGTTTACAAAAATACCATTCTGTAGAAATAATAACTAAACTAACAGTTTTCTTCTAGAATGCATTGACCATTATTTGTTGAATTTCTTATGTATCCCTCGTTACATACGCACTCGTCAACACAGTGTGAAGGACATACCCAGTCACATGATGGATTCTTGTTTTGGCATGTAGCTTGCCCGCAGCACGGTCTACAGCCATTAGTTTCATTGCAACCACCTAAAATATTTAGTTTTCATTAAAAAAAGCCTTCCTTAAGGTGCAGCGTGCCCGAGCCGTGCTTGGCGCAGATTCGTCAGATTTGTACGGTGTTGTGGATCTACCGTGCGATGGAAAGCAACTACTTCGTGCTTATTTGGCGCGGCCCGTGGTAGAAACACAGCACCATACAAATCTGACGAACTCTGCCCGTTGTTAGGACGACGTAAGTACGGCCTGGGCCTGGCGCGTTTTATTTATTCGCACCTTTGCATTTATCTCATTGTGAAACAATCACCTTTAACGATGAGAACAAGCATTTATTTAGTGCTAAGTATGATAAGAATATTGAAAAAAAAAGTCTACTTTAAACAAGCCTGTCCTTATTATAGTTATGAGGAAAATCGACTGAATTTAAAAAAAAATTAAGAATGTCTTATTGTGAAACATATATATATACACATCTATAGGTCCATAAATAACTTTATTTTACTTAATAAACACTACAAATATATTAAAAAAGAAAAAACTTATGTGTTAACGAATGTTTAAGGAACTCAGATTTATCTCAAAGCGAATGATATTCTACTGTCATTTATTTTTACCCACCAGTTAATATTTCGACAGAATCAATTTTACGTTCTTCTTTGCTGTCGTACTTACGTTTTCTTCTAACGGAAACGTGAAGGCAATCAGGGATTTGTTTTTCTTTCGTAGAATTGTAAACACAAACTCGTTCTCCTCATGTTTTCAAATTTTTCCAATATTGTATATAGTTGTTCTTAACGATAAAGTAAATTGAATTAAGATAAAATTATTAATATTAGGCTTCCTTTCCAATTCGGTTAACTCAAAAAGGTTTTTTGTAGACTCTTAAAGGGTTCTTCCTCCCTAAGGTCATCGGAAGTCATACCACCGTTTTGATAATCATCGTCATGATTTAAAAAGTGTGGTTTTAGCTTCCATTATCTTTTTGCTTGCTTTTTCTTAGTTCTTTCTATGATCTTTTCTTTCATAAAATGATCAAAAAACTCTCTTGGTCAGAGTAGTAGCTCACCATACAGAGTGTAGATTCATTCGAGTAATTGGTTTAGAATTGGTAAAAAATTCATTGGAGAGGGATCCAGAATGGTCAGGGAGCTCTTCATTATGGCCAGAGAGCATGCACCTACTATCATTTTTATTGTCGAAATTGATTCTATAGGATCTTTTCGTATCGAATCCGGCTCGAAGGACCAAAATTTATGATTGTAAACAAACTTGTGGTGGACTGTAATCTTGATTTTCCACATTAAATAAAACTCTTGATACGTTTGTGAAACAATATTTACTCCTGCTTTCGCAGCGTGCAGTTACCGATTATCGAATCTTGTTAAAACAAAACAACTTTTTTTTATCTGAAAGTTGGCGATTTCGCCAAACTGTACATAATATCTAATTTTACACTAAAAAATAAATTTTATATAAAAAAGCAAATACAAACCTAACCACCTTGTGAATGAACAGTTGACAAAAAATTAAATTTGACATGAGGATGGAGGGAATACTGATAAAAAATTAACAAAAAAGGCAAAATGTTGCAGAAACGAAATGATGATGATAAAGAAGAACGATGGAAAAGAAAATGTGCAGGAACTCCATGGAAAATTTTCAAAGTGTGCTCTTTTGCAAGACAATAAATCTTTCATATTATGTCGCAGATATTTTAATGAAATTAATATACAAGTTTGGATGGATATTTTGAATAAGTAAATAAAAATGTATTTTGCTAATTTTGACATATAAAGTGACAGTTTTGTTATTCGCAGCAAATTATGAAACTGGTTTCCAAATATTTATCATATCACCAGTTGCGAAAAGAAAAGAAATAAAAATTAACCTTTTTCGGTTTTAAAATCAATAATATACATTATTATTGGAAGTTCATATCAAAGAAGAGCAGATTGACCTATAGAAATAGAATTTGGATAAACTTACAAGATAGTAATAATGTTGTTTTGGTCCTTATTTTCCATTCTAACTCAGCACAAAATAATTAAACCACAAGACACGACAAAATAACCCACTTTTTTGAAAACTAAATGTCGTTGAAAAAAACTAATTATATTTTGTCAATAAAATAATACAAGAAGGTAATAATACTAGTTGCCTAGAAGTCAGTAATATCTTACCAAAACACAATTTTATAAATAATTTAATTTAATCAAAATTAAAAAAAATATATTATATGTAACACATTACGACATTCCGTTTAATTTAACTCGTTTATGTTGCAGGACCTCGCTCTGCTATTCCCGCAAATATTCACTCGTTACATAAAATAGAGCATTTCGTAACTGATTGTATAAATAGCTATTAAAAATGTAGTTTTCTTCTGTTGAATTGAATGAACTAAGTAATGTTTATATTGTTTGTAGATAATTTATTTTGGTGATATATTTTTTTTAATACATAATATATAGAAAATATCTTACATTGGCATTTCTTATTTTCGATACATGGGCCGCCTGTTTCCCTTTGAACATATCCTGGTTTACATTGACATTTTATAACACATTTTTCTTTACAAGATTCACTTATTATTGGATGTCTGTCATGGCAAGTTGGTTCAACTGCACATGGTGAAGCACATTTATTCAAAATTTCGTTAGCCCCACATCGTCCTGTAAATAAAATGTGAACTTAATTATTTTTGGTCCTACTATGACAATCTGACAATCAAATAGGTAACTAGTAATAATGTTGACATTATTCGATCCAAGTGAGACAGCGGAAGGGATATTCAATGATAATACCGAAAACGGGGATAATTTTTTGAGAACATTATTTCCATAGAAGTTTGCATAAGTTTGTAAGAAAACAACAAAATTCTCTAAAAAAAAATCTCACGGCACATGGAAAGATTATTTAACAATATAAATACAACTTTTAAATACAATTTAACGTTAATTTTAATTGTTTACTAAATTAATATTGATATAAAATTAATATTTGAACAACCAGTAGTTTCAGATATAGTTTGTTTTAATTGGCGTGTGTTGGAAAAAAAAAATGTCATTGGTTGATATATTATAGTGTTAAATAATCAATGATAAATTCCCAGGTATGGGATTCATCTCACAAAATGTGGATGAGAAAGGATATTCATAAAATATGACATAAATAACTATTATTTTTTATATATTATTTGTTTATACTTACTGATAGATGACGGTTGTGAACATAACGGCTGGATTGCAAAAATATTCAAAATAAAAAATAAAATAATGGTCCCCATTCTGAATGTTATTAGTAATGCAGTAATTAACGATTGTTAAAATCATGAATATATAGTAAAATGAAGCATATTATATTTAACTATCATTTTGCACGTTTTAAAAATTTCTGATAGTAAAACCATAATTCGTTTTTTATGTCTAGATTGTAAAATAAAAAACATGTTTGGTTCTAGAATTTATTGCAGATTTACTGTTTTTAGTACATCATCAAATCCAAGAAAGTATTTATAACCGTATAGCTATTAACTAATAAAAGTATTATTACATCTTAAACAATGTGTTATTAATTTAATAGTGACAAAAGTCCGGCAACCACTTCGTTTAAACAGCTCAACAGTGGCGCAACTACAATGGTGCCAATGATGAGGCGACCCGGTTAAAGTCTCAAAGAAGCGCTTGAAATATTTTTACGGTAATTTTAAAAAAATTCAGAAACGAACTGTCTAATGTGGATACTTTATTCGAATAATGTTAAACCCTGGTCGTATGTCGTTTTGTACCTATATATTTAACAAAAATATGTATATAAGTGTATACAATTTCGCCATACAAAATTACTAAACAAATAACAATTTTTGTAGAATTGTTTGTTAGATCTATTATGCACCTTATTTAAAATAATTATAGTTGGTGTACTACTGGTAGCTCTATAAGTACACAATTTTTGTGGCAATTAATTTATATTTATTTTATTTTATAAATATAATGACCTTTCTTTAACAAAATATAAATTTTTAACATCAGAATAACAAAATATAATAATATTAACTAATATCTAGTGTAGATTCAATCTCTTCAATATTACATGATTTTTCCTTGCCAAAAATAATGTACGACCTCAAGTAGACCCCACTTTTCATTCCGTTACGTCACTGCGTCCTTAGCAACCGTGATGAGACCACTGTGTTGTCTACGAACCGTAATCCTTGATTATTTCCCTCGCCTGTCAACTTTGACATTTTAACATCACATCGCAATTTACATTATCGTTAGAACCAATCAGAACCAAATAAATCGACTACTTTCACTGACTATTTTATATCTACTTTAATGGTTCTTTTTCTAATTTATTTTTCTACATTGTGAATCTATCTTCATTAACGTCTTTTTTTCAATTTCTATTTTTATCCCTTCCAGTTTTATCTTTATCTTTTCTTGTATATATTTGTTTCTTCTTCGCTCATTTCTGTACTCTTATTTTTAATGTTATTATAATTTGCTAATTCTTCCTTTATTTTTTCATCTTCTTTCCAGTCTCATCCAACTGTTTTGCATTATCATCTAACTTTTTCACAATTCGTTATTTTACTCCTTATTTTCTTTCAATTCTCGTTTGTCTTCTTTCCTCATTTCTCGTCTATCTTTCTCCATTCTCATCATTAATATCTGAAACGTCCTTTACATCTATTTCCTTTTTATATTCTTTTTTCTTTTCTTCTTTCCGAACTTCTACTTGAATCTTAACCTCTTATCCTTGACCTAACTGTTTTGTATTTTTCATCTTCGTACCATTTCCTAATTTCATATATTTATTTTATTTATTATTACCTAAACACATATGCCCCCACTCTCTCAAATTACCCAAATCTCACACCAAACACACCACAGACAAGGATCAGTGTACTACAGTGATAAGCTAATTCTCTTATCGGTCCTTACATCCTTGCTGTAATGCTTCCGTTACACTTGCCGCTGCCAAATTTATACTTCACGTTGAGCGCCTATTTAGAATGGTTTTACCCCGGAAGTGTTAAGTCATTTCAATATTCTAAAGTTTTTAGGGTCCTGACTTCTCTAGCTCCTTATAAATTTCAAATAAAATACATATTTATTATAAATCAAACAAAAATGTATTTTCTGCTATTCCTTTACTCCTTTCATCACTTGCTCCAAGTCCTAATTTGTCTTTTCCTCTACCTCCTAATGTCCTCTTAATTTATGCCTTCTGCTTTGCTTTTTAATATTTGTTCTGTGCCTTTCACTGATATGTCTCCTTTCACTGTTCTTCTCTATCTCCTGTTTCTGCTCCTTACTGCTATCCGATTCACGCTTATCATTAATTTAAATAAAACTTTTATTACCTTTCGTTTTTATTCTTTTTTTTACTTCATATATAGCATACAGGGTGGGCCAACGAAAACTTTACATCCCGATTTTCCGACTTTAAAATGAAAATCTGGAAAAAACCTTAAACACGTCGATTTTTAATTCGAGGGGGAACAACTTGTTTGATTTTTTCATCAATGTAACTTCAACCCTTTAACAGGAGGAAGCACAACCCCCTGTTTTTAAATAGGGGTGAGGGGCGTTGCAATACCTCATTGTGAAGATCTCATTGAGTACTATTTGACCCTAAAACTTCGCGTCAAATTTTTTATCAATAACAGCTAAAACAGTGAAATAGGCAATGTGGAAAAAATGTGTACTTAATGACAAACAAAAAGAATACTTACTTCTGTGATTAGTTTATTAAATGCTGGAAATGGCCACCATTCACTTCCATGCAGTAAAATAAGTTTACCTCAAGGATAATTATTCTTATCAGAGTGGTATTTGAGAAGTAATTATTTTTTGTTTTATGGATGCACCGTTTACTCGATTTACCTCAGTTCATCGTAAATTTTTAAGAACGTTGCTACCGTTTCTACTCGATTGACATTTTTTTAGTAGAATTAAAATGGTGTATTCCGTGGGGGAAAGGGTGGAAATTATTAAATTGTTTATTAGAAATAACAACTCTACGCGAGTAATAGTAATAGCGACTTTATTTAACGAACGTCATCCCGCTTATGTTTTGCAACTGGTTTCCAAATTTGATGCCACTGGTTCAGTCGAAAATAAAATGAAAGTGCATGAAAGGGAAGCGAGGGAAATTGCTGTTTTAGGTCATGTAGCGACCCTTAGTACTAGGAAATTGTCCGACGTATCTCGTGTATTACGCACGATAATCAGGAAAATCCTTAAACGACATTTCATTCTTTTAAGATACGATTGGTTCAGGAACTAAATGAGGATGATTTCGATCGCCGACTTTAGTTTAGTGAAAATATTAACAATAATTATCTTTAAATACCAAATACCAAACCTAAGAAAAATTAGAGTTGGATAGTGTCCTGGTTTTTTAATCACACTGTGAATTGTAAAAATTCATTGAAGTTCATTAATGTGTAACAGATACGTTTAAAGATCGTTGTTAATTATATGGTACGTTTACATTAGTCTAGTGAGTTGATCAACTTCTTGAATTTTGAATTCCTTTAATTTGAAAAAAAAAGTACCTGTTTATTTTACACATTCATTTGAGGTGAAAATGGTTAAAGTGAACATAGGTAAAGCTACATTTAGCAGCAAAAGTTTCGCATAATTTGGATAAAAAAAAAAATACAAATTTTTTTAAATTTATAGTAAATAGGTATAATAAAGTATATTCATCCTTACTAACTCAAAATAACATAAAATTTTATTTCCCAGAATAACAAATAACATCTCCTTGGCATGATAAGAATATGATTCCCAATAACATTTCATGATATTATATCCCATATATCAAGCAGGGTAGTTCTAAGGTCAACCAGCCTATTCAGAGGTTTTCGACGGGTTGAAATTCTTCTGCCCATGTAATCTCAATCGTGTTTTATGGAGTTGAGATCAGGGCTTCTAGCTGACCATGCCTACCTCTTCCGAATACTTCTGCCAAATTCTAGTAATGTGGTGTCTTGCCTTATCGTGCATTACCAGAAAATTAATTTTCTCAAATAAAAGAGACATATGGCATAACATGTGGTTATAAAACTGTCTCTATATGCCTTCGAGCAGAGATAGCTATTTTGGAAAAGTACCAACTCCGTACGTGCAACCAAAGAAATTCCTCCCCACACCATCACTGATCCGCCTCCATAGTTCACTCTAGGAAGAATGTTGCACTGGGCATATCGTTCTCCTTCACGTCTATATACTCTTACTCGTCTATCATTATTAAAGTAAGAAAACCTGGATTCATCAGAGAAGAGAACTCTGGGCCAATTATATTCCGCCCAATTTACATGATCTCGAGCAAACCGTAGTCCTGTAGCGGCTTGATAGGGAATCAGATTACTTTAACGAAGCCTTCTTCTTACAGTATCAGGACTTACATGAACTTGATGGGCATCTAGAAGCCTATTTTGTAAATATGATGCCGTACAGTCCTTGTTCTAAGTGTTATTATTCGAAAGAAACGGTTTTCTATGGCGGTTGTAACCCTTGGGCGTCCTGTGACGGGTCTTCTCGTATGCTGTCTGTGTCCCTGAATCGACTTAAAGTCCTACTAATAGTAGACTGATTCACATTGAGTTGTTGAGCAATGTAACTGATTTGTCCATTCACCACTTAGGGTGACTCTATTCACCACTTAGGGTGACGGTCGTCACCGATTCCTGCTCCGTTAATTTTCGATTTTGTACTCGATGTGGATTCATTTTAAACGTACAGATACTAATTTATTATAGAAAAGTAAGTAGCCTATATTTTACTATACTGAAGAAATAATATCGAAATCGCTGGCTTTTTAATTTTGTAAAAAAGTGGACATAAAATAATATTAAAAAAAAACATGATTTCATTTGTTTTATTTCTTATATACAGGATAATATCAAAATATTATGATTGTATGTGTTTTCAAGCGAATTACAACTATTAAAATAGTTTGTGAATTAGAGCAAAATATTCAATGAAAATGTCAGCACAAAATGCGAAAATGGGTCAACCATTAGATTCAACGCAGAGGAGGTGCTTCTAGTAACCTTATAACTAAATTAAGATTAGACGATCTAAAGTTATAAAATTTTCGGAGATTAAATGAAAATCAATTTAGCAAAAATTGCAGTCCGAATTGGGTAGAACTGTTTCACCGAGGTTGAAACTTGAAATAAATTTACCTTATTTGGTTTCAACAGTTTTATTACAGTTTGTCAAAGTGTAAAATTGCATGTTTTTTTATGGATACCTGCGATGAAGTGTTGCAGTGATGTATTAAGGTATACAACAATCTAGTAATTTTATTTAATAGTAATATCTGTAAAAATTACAAAATAGAATTTCAGGCTTCAGATAAAACATCGCTAGTAGCATAAGAATGGGACGAACGTTCTAAATTAGGAAATGAATGTAGTATTTGGAGAGTCTGAAGACGGTTACCTTTCGATGTGGCGTGATCTTTGATCCATCTTAAGTTGACCACATTGTTGATGGATACTTCGGCCAAAGCTTCGTGGCATTCTAGTATTAACATCCTGAGTAAATTCGTGGTCTGTCCAGGGTAAGTAGAGTGCTTATCTGCTATCTGTATAGATCAGCATGTTCCTTCCAGTAATATTATTTCTGGTGATTTCTTTTGCTACTATGAGAATCCCTGTGAGCTCGATTTGAACTACACTGGATGTTTTGGTTTATGGATCTGGCATATATTCCACAGTTTATTCAATCCTTCTAAGTTTGGGTATTGTGGCGACATCGTGATCCCCACATAATATTCCTTTAGTTTTGACTCACATCTTATTTCAGTTTAAGGTCGTTTTTATTTGAGATTATTTAAGTTTCAACGTCGTAACTTAATTATGTTAAGCCTTAAGCAGATATATCATTGTCGATGTCCTTTGAAGTGCATCCTGATACGTAGAGCCTTGACGACCGTTGATAGGAAGAACAAAAAAAGAAACATCAGGGAAGACAGAACAAGACAGACGACCGTTTTACATGTGTACAATTTATTTTAAAACCAAATAAATATTTATTTTTATTCCTCGGAAGTCTAATTCCAATTCTACAGGTATAAAGACTACTTTTACTTCTCTCCATTTTTTGAGGATATACCTCAGAGCCAACGAGGATCTGAATATACCTACCAGACCCCCACTAAAGTAGGGCTGGATAGATAACGTCAGTTCCTGGCGATTTAAATATAGAGACGCCATCTAATTTTGTTGTCTACAATGTCCGGCAGTTTGCCAATGGTGATGATGGTGAGTCTCCTAAAAATGATGTGCACGTATGCTAACCAGAGATTGAATAACCTCGGCTACTACTCGGACGCAAATTTCTGATTCGGCCAAAAAAGATCAACTTTACTTCTTGGTACACAAATAAATATTGTGTATCATGTGTCCATTTTAAAATACCAATAAAATTATACTTTCTAATTACAAGGAAATAATCCATTGTTTATATCCGCTCACACTAACAAATTAAAGAAAATGGGAATTTGTTAGGAATACACAATTTGAACTTATTGTGAATAACATTGTGTGAAATGAAATTACCAGGTAAATGATAGGCTACCAGTTTTGACTCTCAATTAGTTTTAGTTTCCAATTTGAATACTGTCAATCAATGAGGCTTATCGCATATGCGAAATAATGACATATTTGGCTTTAAAAAGAGTTTGTTTAATCGCAATATTTCGGAATTTAAATTACATTAAATAGTCCAATTAAATAACGAAAAAAAGCCCCTTCGAGCTTACATTAATTTGTAATTGGATGAAACAAAAAGGACCTTGTGTATTTTGATGTGATCTTTCCGAAAAAAAGAAAAAAAAGATGTAGCAGTTTTTCAATTTTGTTTAAATTAGGAAAAACCGGGTTTTCCGGAATTTTCCATTGTAAAAATGCTAATTATCTGGGCAAGTATCATTCCGATAGTGAAAATAAATGCACCATTCGAAAGAGGAGGCAAAAATAGTTCGGAAATTCATTGCACAGGTAGTTTTAATGGCGAATTTCTCGCCGCCAGAAGTGCTTTTACCAAAAAGTCGTTTTTTCGTTTTTTTGATCAGAACCATGGACATGAAATTTGCGATGAATTTGTGGCGAAATTATAAATGTTAGACATATGTGCCCATGAGAGAAGTTGCGTATTTTTTTGTTGGCTCTCAAATAAAATAAGTCCCGCGGCGAAATCTGACATAATTTTTCGGGAATTCGCAGGAAACCAGAGGCGTAGTTTTTTTTTTAATTTTTTTCCCATGTGATTTTTTCCGGGTTTTCCGAAAACATCTAACAAAATAAATATATTTGAAAAAACTAACTTCGTCATCGAAAAGAGCACAAAAAATACACAAAAAGGTATACTTTAAAAATGTTAGGAAATTAATCCTAAGCCTGAGTGTAAGTTCCAACTTGGTGATAAGCTTGCTTTTTGTTCGCTAATATCTGGTAATTCTATATTTTGCACAAAACTCAAGAAACGTCTTATAACAAGTCAGTAAAATACAATTTAATAAATTTTAAGCCTAATAAATTTAGATATGCAAGAAATTTAAAACTGGAAATCGCAAAAAAATCAAATTACAGTAATGTAGTGTATACACGAGTTTTGGATCCCGCGGAGCGCGTGTAATGGGACTTTTGTCGGGAGAATTCTACAACTTAGAAGAAACATACACACTTTAAACTTTGTATACACATTTAGAAGACATGAAATTTGGGTTTGTTTAATTTTCAGACAAAAAAACTAAAAATTGTCAATTTTAGGTAACTTTTCTCAAAAACCGTGTTTTTTGGTCGTCACTCAATGAACAGTGGTCAAAAAAATAGATAAAATATATTTGCAGAATTTTCCGTAATGTATTCGTATTCTAGACACAATAGAGTACTCAAAAAAAAAGTTTTGAGCCATTGGGTGCATTTTTGGCATTTTTGTGCCACTTCAAACTTTCAAAAAAAAAAAAAATTTTTTTTTTTTTTTTGAATAAAAAATTATTTAATTGTTTGATATCTTAGCCAATTATGGTCCGATGTCGGTGAAATTCACACACACATAATATTTCACATTTAAGAGTAAGCTTTGTAAGTGGCATTAAAAAAATTCAAATAGTTTGGCCGTTATAGGCAAACAATGAAATTAGGACCGCGGTGCATTTTGCCCTTCCGCCATATGCCCAATTTTGGGAATTCTCTTGCCCCCTTCTGGGAATCACTAGTCACATCTCTTAAGTTCAAAACGCATTTTTGTCTTTTCAAATATCTTAATTTTTACCAATGTTATAAAGAGTTTAGTGTTTGAACATTTAACAAATTCAATTTTTCGACCTTCGTCGCCTCAAAATACTAAACAAATTTCAATCGTCCATACCGCGAGAACGGTGCATCGGATCAAAATTTCTCAAGAGACATAAAAATTAGCATTTTTCCTAAGCTTTCAAGTGTAGTAAACTGCGTTTTAAAAATATTGATTTATTTCCGACATGCGCCTGCGCAAAATTGAAAAATTGACAAAATCCAAAATTTCGGCACTTTCGAAAAACTGCTCAAAACCCATAATTTAATTCGATTATAAAATAACTGGTATGAAAATCAATTGACTAGTTAAAAATATAACATGTTGTCATGATTCCGTCATTTATCTTTGGATGTGATATTTTCGTCTTGTATCGTTGACATTAAAAACTTATTCGAAAAGGCCTTATGTGTGTGAGGCCAAAAGTAATGCTCTGGAAATTTGAATTTGTTTTGTCAGTGCTATTTAAAGATATGGTCAGTTGGGAATTTTAGAAAAGTGGTGGGCAAGTATAAATATTATATTAAAATAAAGTTATATAGATGTGAGAGTTGAAGATTTTATATACAGGGTGGGCCAACGAAAACTTTACACCCCGATTTAAAATGAAAATCGGGAAAAAAGTTCGAACTAGTCGATTTTTGATTCGAGGGTGAACAACTTGTTTGATTTTTCATCCATGTAAGTTCAACCCTCTAACAGGGGGAAGCACAACACCCTGATTTTGAATAGAGGTGAGGGGTGTTGCAATAACTCATTTTAAAGATCTCATCGAGTACTATCTGACCCTAAAATTTCGCGTGAAAATTTTTATTGTTAACAGCTTAAACAAAAAGAATACTTATTTCCATGATTAGTTTATTAAATTCACTTCCATGCAGTAAAATAAGTTTTGTTCAAAACGTTCCCGTACATTACGCAATATGTCGGGTGTAATTTGACAACATTCATTAATCATATAATTTCACAAATGATCCAGTGATTCGGACTGGGTAGCTTAAATCTTAGATTCAGATCAGGTGACCTGGGTGGCCACTCAATATACCCCCTTCTTCCAATCCAGCTTTGAGGAAAATTCTCATCCAGAAATGATGGTATGATGGTCTTCTTCATTCTCCAATACTTGCACGAAGGCTGGATAAAAAGCGTCTTCTAATAATTCCAAATACACTTCGCCATTGAGATTACCGGGTATAAAAAAGAGACCGATTATTTGATTTCCATAAATGCCCGTCCAAATATTTAGTATTTGGGGATGCTGAGTATGTACTTCATGAAATACTCTTGGATTTTCATCTGACCAATACCGACAGTTATGCCTATTTACAAATGCCAAAACACACATATCGAACTTGTAATATTGGTTATAATCTGCGAATAGGCTATTGTAGATATTATAGAAAATTTACAGTTTTGGTTTTCTTTCAGTACAAATACTACTGCGTCACAGGAACACCTGTCGTTTTCAAAAATTTGTCAGCAATATCATACGGTCTTTGCGTAATATCATGGCTAGTTGGAGTTTTAATAATGTTAGCCCAATTCTATCTTCAACCAGATATGCTTCTATGGCATACGTATGCTTACTTCCACATTCTTGCAATGTTGAATTGCCTTTGTTCACTATGGTTCATTAATTGTACCGCAAAAGGAAGAGCTGCTCGTTGGCTATCGGAAAACCTCCACAATGCTTTACAAAGTTCAGATCCGGCGAGTAGACTGGCTGAATACAGAGATCTATGGGTAGATTTATCTCATATGATGCAACAATTAGGTAAGTGATTCATTGTTTTATTTTGATAAAATTGTAAACAAGTTGACTAAATTTGAATATTTTGAAGGTAACCATGAAAAATTATGAAATTTTATTTTCTACTATTCGGAGTAAAGTTATGTGGTTTAATTTTGCGTCATTTTTTTAGTAATATATGCATAAAATAATATTAACATAATCTCAATTTTAAAATAGGTGAATACAAGTGGTTTGCAAATATCTATAAGTTGCAAGTACGGTACGAGTTATCAGAGCTCTATCAATACTCTTAAACGGCAACGGTCGGTCTAAAGTTACCTAGTCAGCTTCGCCTTGAATCTTCTTGCAGCGGAATTGATCTTGTCTTTTCCGGTGATTGTTGATTTCGTCGCCAGGACGGTTTTTTCTCGTCTTTAAGCTGGAAAAATTGGTCTGTCTGCGACTTCGGTTTCGCTGGGGCCGGCCTGTTCAATTCTGTTGTTTTCAGCTTGGCACCTTTTTAATTTTTAATAATTTTTTTAAAAAATATGTTTTTTACCTTCTTTTACTGTATATTTTATAATTCTATTTAATTCATTGTAATCTTTTGCTGTTTAAAATTTAAAAGTCCCGCCATAACTTGGTACCTTGCTCAGTGGTACCAACCCACTTTTATCATTTTCAATATCAACCTTTGACAATTTTTCACGAAATTAATTTCAATTTCTCAAGTTGGCATTTTTCTTGACAACTTCATTGTCAAATGTCAATTGTCACTCATTCTGTTTTGGTACATTGCCAAGATGGTCACATTTAAAAAAAAAACTGTGTGCATATTTTTTGTACCCCAACTTGCCTTCGCCTCACGGAAGCAATTGCCAAAATCTTGCTGCCTTCATGTGGAAGATATACCCTTCTTTATTATTTTAAATGTGAAAAATCAAAGTGTTATTTAAATTAATTAAAGAATTATGCGAACGGCAACTACATGGGTTCGGAGAGCTGTGGGTCGTAGGTATTCTGACAATTTAAGGTCTTTAAATCCTAACACTATTATTACTCCATATGTTCCAGAGTGTAATTGAGCGCCACTCAATTTTGATCTTATGAAAATAGAGAAAATCCTGTAAAGAAATATAGCCTAACCACTAAATAAAACAACAGGATTTAATTTACTTAATATATTCTTCACTGGCAAATATTGAGCATAACGAAAAATTGTTTATACGATTATAGTTTATATCGAGTACTTAGTACCTAAGCACATTAAGTTATATACTTTTCTTATATATAGTGGAGATTAATATAAAGGGCTTAAATATTACCTTTCATAGCTATGTCCGGCTCTCAGAGCAAGAGTTATTTTTAAATAACTGCATAAATGTAAAATTGAAATTTTGACTAAAAGTTTATACCAAAAGAAAAATGTTTAAATTTTGAAAAGACCTAAATTATATATATCACTTAAAATCACATGGATCGGTATCAATAAAACACTGTTAAATAAATCACGTCACTACTAATTTGTCTTTACTTTACTTGGCTATATTGTCCTAGTATAATCTTCAGGGACTCCTAACAGGAACAGGATGAGATGTCTACCCTTACCGGTAGTGGATTCAAACCTTGTTGTCGAGATTATGGTTCTGGGACCCCTTTACTGCAATATTTCTAGGATGACCTCCTGAACTGAAGATATGAATACTCAATGTGGCGAAAACGGGAACGATCACAATATGACGGCTTCACATGGACGGTGGACGATCATGAACGGGAATTTTTAAACAAGGGCTCCACAAATCAACTACAATTTGGCCCTTGCTAATTTAACACTTCACGAGACAGAACAGTTAACAACTATGTGTATAGGACAAATCACATCCAAAATGTGAAGCTCGAAAATTCGGGTATTTATATTTTAAATAAACGAAAAAAACGACAAGTGTCAGTGTCCAGTCAGTAAGTGACAGTGACAATGTAATTTGACGTTGGGATAGTCAACTCTGGGAAAAAGGTGTCACCACTACTCGTGAACAGATTGTTTCATTATCATGATGCACTAGTTGAACAAGGACGGAAGTATAACTAGAACGTCTTTGGTCGGAATGTTTTATAGACTATGGACCTCAACTGAACAATAAATGATCGTGATCGTACTGTACTGAATGGGCCTGTTACTTACATCAGGAATGGGGAATGGGCCTGTCCTCTCGACTAGTTTTATTTGACTATTTAATTAAGAATATTCATCTGTTTTACATGACGTTTCATTATTTTGAGAAATCTACGTACTTTTAAACTTGTGAGTTTTATTCTCTAAAATGAAAGTGAGATGTAGGTTATTTTAACCGTTACAAAGACTAGCAGTTTCTTTTTCTCTGAAGTAACCGGAGTGTTTTGTTCTACATGTTCGGATGGACCTCCACTTCATTTGTTAAAATTTAACCACATTTTACACTGGGTTAGTTACCGAATTTCGGTGTGGTTTTTCTATTTTCAATTATCTAAGCTGCAAGCTATGGTGGAGACTTGGGACTGGTCTGTTGCTGTCCCTTATTAATTTAGTTTACTTTTGATGTGTCTTCTAAAGTTTTTTTGACGAGTAAGTGTACAAGTTTTTTTTATTCTATTTTTTAGTAATGATAGAGTTGATTATATTGTACAGTTCATCAAATTTCTAGAGGCTTTCGACGGCTAGACAGAGAAAGCACTACTGACAGGCATCCCGACGGATTTACGCAATGAAAGTACACTCTGCGCATCAAGTATTTCACTATTTCATTCAGACGTAAATGTCAGATGTAAATTTCGTTAAAACATTTCTTTTATTTTCGTTTGTGTTTTTTGCTCATTACAGTTTAATAGAACCTAAGTATGGAGTTTAATAGCAAATTAAGAGGCCGCGTGATTAACAGTCAATCTCGCGAAAAAATAGCCAATGTTATAGAGTTTATGAGAAGAGAAGGAAACTTTAATTCACCTTCAATACCATTTAAAAATGTAAATGATCGTGTTGCTGCAGCCACAGGAGTATCTAAAAACACTGTCGTCCGCATTTCTGGAGAGAAAAAAAGAATCGATAACCGTGAGATATCGGAATTTTCATCACCAAGAAAAACCATTAAAAAACCAAAAACAGTTAATGATATAGATGAAGCTGCACAAGAATCAAATTTTATTTTTTTATTATTAGATAGCTATTTTTGTTTCTGAGTTGTGTTCATTTACAGGCTCAATTTTTTTCCGTTTCTCCTTTTTGATTTTATATGGGGTTTCAAGTTGTTTTTGACTTATTTCGACGTAAATCACAACAACACACTTTTTTAATAAAGCAAACAAGTGTTAAGAGGTATATGTACGTGTAAACTACAATTACAAAAAATTGATATGAAACCCATGAAACCACCAACAAAAATGTAAAGCTAGCTTCCGTACTAGAACATGGTGTCATTCGTCGAGATAATTTATCGTTTTGTTTAATAGATCAAGAAATGTAAATATTCCCCTGTTATTTTTTATAAAATTATAAGAGAAATAAATTTGTTTCTAAATAGTATAGTTTATTATTTTGTAGAAAAACAAAATTTCGAAAATTTTAGTAATGTTTCAGAAACAACCGTTATTAATAATAGGTACCATTTTCCTTAATAAGGTAGAAATAAAATATAAACTATTTCCACGATTTACAAAGGCCTACAAAAAAATTATAGGTATTTTCCGCTATCCTATAAAATTTATATTTTCTGACTCAATTTCAACAGGTTGAAGGAATTCCAAAACACCTTTTATGGCATAATAATTATTTTCAATTCTACATACTATCTTTAGCTGCTTTTAAAAACGTTCTAAGAAAGTCCAATCAGACCAATTTAATCCCTAAACTATTCCACACTTTTAAAATTTAATTACCTAAAAATATTAAAAACTATTTGAAATAACTTGTTTAGCAGACTGTACAATAGCTATCTTAGTCACACGTAGCGCGTTCTCTGTCTGGGCTTCGAACACCTCTAGAAATTTGATGAACTGTAACAGCTCCGTTTTTTCTCTTTCATAAAGTCTTTGATGATGGCTTAAGAGGCCGATAGCGCTCAGACGAATTTTTTATAGAGTTTTATTGAATAAAACTCAATTTTTACACACTTTAAATACTCTCTCGATTCATTTCTTATTACCCAGTGTGTACACACTACTCAACCTTTTCTAAAAGGATTTGGTTAAAAACTACAAACTTTTTAATAACTGGCTCTTTTTTCGTTTTGCAGTGTATTATCGAAGAATTAAAACGATTATTCAATTTAAAATCCAACAAATCAACAATAATACATCCGTTCCAATTTTGTAAGTGGCAGCAAAACGGGCATGCATTTCCTTTTTCCAAATCGAAACGATACTTCCGAGGAAACGCAGCAAGGCAAAGAAAACAGAACCGGAAACTATATAATTTGACCAATTAACATAATAGAACGGTTAGAGAGCGCTATGTAACGCTTGTCACTTTCTATTCAAAAAGCTGCATTCAAGTCCTACGCACGTCTAAACGACCTGCAAATCCGCCTATTAATGCATTCCAACAAAACACCTGTTAGCCACACTACAAAGCATTCACGTTAAAGATATATAACCGCTCGTTTATTTGATTTCAACAGTATTGGATTTAGCCGTTAAACGTCAGATTTATGAACAATTTACTCGAGAGTTTACACTGTGTTTTTCTAAGTGGTACTTGCTAACATGGTGGTCTATTCCACATGCACAAAGTGAATGCGACTGTGGGAATTTACTGACATTGCATAGTAGTTTGACACTCCATAAAGATATGTCGCCACTTGATTGAAGATGATCTATATTTTCGTGGTAGATTTATCCACATTTTCTTTTGCAATTCATTAATTTCATTCCTTTTTAAATTATTTGGTTTCTCTTGTAACTGAGTTTCAGCACCGTACATAATAAATTTTCGTAAGCATTAACTTTGAACAATTTTCTGATAATAGTAAAAGTTCAAATGATTCGCATATTATCGAATAATTAACACTTTAAATTATGCAAATGCTCTCTAAAAATGCATCCCTTTTGTAGTATTACTCTTTGTTCAATCCTCATAAGTTAACATTTTATTTACCATATCGATAGGGAATTCATTAAATCGATTATTCTAATCACGTGCAATATGAGTTGCCTATTGACAGATTAAAAATAATATTTCCGCGGATTTGTGAGATCGAGTCACGATCGAAGATTCGGTCCATATGCAGACCTTCCAGAACAAAATACGACGTAGTAAAACTATTTTAGTAAAACGTTGTTGTCGGTAAGATAAAAGCTTTCATACAAAAAGCCTGGATCATCTCTTGAATATAACCGAATTGAGGAGAGCTTTCTTCCCTGCAACATAAGAACTATAAGAATTATAGGAACTATAAGAACTATAAGAATGATAGGAACTATAAGAACTATAAGAACTATAAGAACTATAAGAAATATAAGAACTATAAGAACTATAAGAACTATAAGAACTATAAGAACTATAAGAACTATAAGAACTATAAGAACTATAAGAACTATAAGAACTATAAGAACTATAAGAACTATAAGAACTATAAGAACTATAAGAACTATAAGAACTATAAGAACTATAAGAACTATAAGAACTATAAGAACTATAAGAACTATAAGAACTATAAGAACTATAAGAACTATAAGAACTATAAGAACTATAAGAACTATAAGAACTATAAGAACTATAAGAACTATAAGAACTATAAGAACTATAAGAACTATAAGAACTATAAGAACTATAAGAACTATAAGAACTATAAGAACTATAAGAACTATAAGAACTATAAGAACTATAAGTACTATAAGAACTATAAGAACTATAAGAACTATAAGAACTATAAGAACTATAAGAACTATAAGAACTATAAGAACTATAAGAACTATAAGAACTATAAGAACTATAAGAACTATAAGAACTATAAGAACTATAAGTACTATAAGAACTATAAGAACTATAAGAACTATAAGAACTATAAGAACTATAAGAACTATAAGAACTATAAGAACTATAAGAACTATAAGAACTAAAAGAACTAAAAGAACTATAAGAACTATAAGAACTATAAGAACTATAAGAACTATAAGAACTATAAGAACTATAAGAACTATAAGAACTATAAGAACTATAAGAACTATAAGAACTATAAGAACTATAAGAACTATAAGAACTATAAGAAAGAACTATAAGAACTATAAGAAAGAACTATAAGAACTATAAGTTACAAAGTTAAAATTTTGTGGCCCTCACCTTAAAGTTTAAGACCCAAATTATATCCATTCATTAGACTGATATATTCGTATTCATAGTTTGTGCAAAAAATAGATAATATAAATGTGGATGTTAAATATAATCGTTTTCATTACCTTTGTTTATTCTTGAAGCAGTATCAATGACTATAAAAGGTGGGGATACACACTTTTCCAATTGTCATGTCACAAAGTTAAGAGTTTGTGGCCTTAACCTTAAAGTTTAAAACCTAAATTATATCCGTTCAAGAGAATGATATCATATTCATATTCATAGTTTGTGCAAAAAATACAAAATATAGATGTGGATGTAAAAAAATATAATCGTTTCCATTACCTTTGTTTATTTCTCGAAGCATTAACAATGAACATAAAAGGTGGAGATACATATTTTTTCAATAGATAAGAAATTATATTTTATTTTAATATGTTTACCATTTATTTCAGGAAAAGCGTACAGTGGAATGTATGCCATGTACCTCATCCTCATTTTATTAACAACGGTTGTCGCTAGTTACGGATGCTTGACAGAAATTCTAGACCATGGTTTATCTTTTAAAGAAGCAGGCTTATTTCTAATAGCCATCTATTGCATGGCTTTATTGTTCATCATTTGCAATGCAGGACATCAAACAACCCACAAAATGGGAGCTGAATTTCGAGAGAGATTGTTAAGTGTCAATATAGGTGAGAAATATTTGTTAAATTACAAAATAATAAAAGTTTCATGTCTAGTTATTTTTCTTACTGCTTATTAAAAGCAGTAGGTGATTGTATTTGCAATTAAAAAAGCTTTAAAATAAAATTTTTATCAACCTACCCCTTCGATTAAAAAAAATGTGAGTTAAAAAGTAAACAAACCTTTGTAATATGCCTCATTGGAAATACAAATTGACATGTTTCAGGCACCATTTTTTTTTTGTAGAAATTTAGGAAAATACCAAATTAATATGTTCAAATATAATAGTTATAAAAAAACTTTACATCTTTTTTCTAGAAAATTTGAAAACACTGGCATTTACAGTTTTTTTTATACATTTTTTTCGCAAACATATTATAATTTTTCTAAGAAGTAAAAAATCTAATAACAAACAACATTATTTGCAAGATATTTTTACACATTTTATGTTTTATTTGTAATCAAAGTAAATGTGTACAGTAAAGAAAAATAGTGAAATTTAAATATTTAATAAGAGAACGATAGAATTTACATCGTCTAAAACAAACTTAACACGTTTTCGTGAATGCGTGAATCGTAATTAATAAGTTTGTTTTCAACTAGCTTATTTTTATTATTTACATTACTTGGATGATTAAATAAGTACACAATAAGACTCAAGTACCGACTTATTCAAATTTAATGTTAATCACATTAAAACTTATTATTATTTCAGGTGCTGTAGACCAAAGAACAAGGCAAGAAGTTAATATGTTTCTAACAGCCATTGACAAGAATCCTCCTATAATGAATTTAAATGGTTATGCCAATGTTAATAGAAAATTGATATCATCGGTTTGTATATCAATATTTAAAATAATTTTATATTATAATAGTGGTAACTAGATTTAAAAAGGAGTTGGGCATTAATTGTATAATATGACGATTTAATTTAAAATGTGCATCTTGTGAGGTAAATTTAAAATATAAAGGGAAATTCACACAACTTTTCTGTAAAATGGTATCGCAAAGAAAACTTCCTTTGTAAAGCTTGAGCCGCTCTGTTGTATTAGCACTATCAGCAGTACCACAATATTAGGAGAACTTTATAAAGAATTGGGCAGTATATGAACTGATAATTGTGAGCAATTTCCTGGATTCGGATGGACCACATAAAAATTACATGACAAGTTCCAATAATTATTATTTTTTCTACGCTTCCATAAGGAAAATCTCTAAAAATTTTGCAATAAGACTAATGTTGGGGTATTGTGGAAGGTCCAATAATCTTGCAGGGAATGCAAAAAAAAGAAGGTTATGTTGGACCGACATACATTATTTAATAAAAACCATAAACATTTGTTTTTGCAAACAGTTCTGGATTTCCATCTCTTGCTTCAATGCAAGCACGAATTAGTTAAGGCATACTAACGACGAAAAACTACTGGACTAATATTGTTTACCAAAATCGAATTGCAAACGTTCACGGTGTCATCCATGTAGTTGTTAAATTATTATGAGAGAGTATGGGATAGTATTGTTACAAGGATTATGGTTATAATTCGGTATTGACTAAACCTAAGGCTCTTGTACAAGGAACAAAGGTGACAGAGTGGGTACTATGAACTAACATGGGGTAAAACACAATAAGCCAATAGGCTTCAGTGTTATTCGGAGACATAGCGCACAAAAGGCTTTCAAAATTACATTATGAAAGTATATTTGTATTATTAATGCCAGTTATTATCAGCAGAGACAACCCAGCGAGACGTGTAACTCAATGTATTTTTTTTTTTCGACAAAAATTGTTTGGGCGACTGTAATGGCAACCAGTTTATGATGGCGCTACTATTTAATTTTCTTCTTTTCTTAATGCCTTTTACTGCTGTGTGTGCTCAGTCATAAATAGCAAGAAAATTTAAAAATGCTGTAGGGCGGGAAATTCAAACGGATTTAGAAATAGTTTTTTTATAAAAATTTACAGGAAGAACACACAAACACACTCACACAGATGTATAAGGCCCGAATCGGACTGGACTGCTAGACCCATCTCTTCCACCCCTTGCTAACTCCTCTAAGGGTCATCCAGATAAATACATTTATATGCCATGCTTTCTGAAGGATGACATACTATATTGATTTAAACAGGATGTTGCTGTAATGTCTTCTGTTTGTGTATCTTGTGGGTGTGCAATCTGTTATGTCCCAGTCATGTGCAAGTTCTCCCAGTCTTCTAATTTGGTGACTAGGTGGACCTTCTCCAACTAGTCGTCTCTTATACGAAACCAATTTAGAAGAGCATTTTTTTCATCGAAGCACTATTTGCTCTATGGGCAGGTAACTAAAAAATCTATTCGATTCACTCTGCAGCAGAAGGTACTTATCAAACGTAGCAAATAATAATAAACACTATTTAAAGATAAATATATTTTTGTAATTTTTTTATTTAGTTATTTTTTTTTATTTTTTTTTTTCAATTTAATTCGAAACATTTGGTATATTACAATTAGCATCATGGAAATGTAATAAAGTTACAGTAGTTTCTACTGAAACTACTGGTTGTTCTGCAGGATAAAGTAACTTTTCTTGAGATTGATATTTCTCTAAAACCCAAAACTGACCTGATGTCCCCAAATAAATTTTCCAATGCATCCTGATTTTAAATTCTGGGTTTGAGTGATTCAGTTTTTTTCTTCGTTTAAATAATTCTACAGACCTCTAATAGCCACTAAATTGGCTATTACATTGCAAGAAATTACCATACTCTAACCATTTCAAAAGTCCTTTGCCAATACTACATGTGCAAAGATTTTTTTACTCAGAATACCTTTCACTTCTTTTCTAGTGGGTGGGAACTTTGTAGTGCTGCCATTAAAGCTATCGAGACATTCATCTACCTACTTTATGAACAAAAGTAGCTGTAATAATGGATCTCTCTTCTAATTTACTTAAAATAACTATAACCATTTTGTATTATAATATTAAACACACACATTATACAGTAGTTGTTGATTTTCTTAATAAATTGGAAATTACTTACCTCTAGAAAGTAATGTGTACAAAAACATTGACACGCTTGTACTTAAAATCTCCATGGCATATTTGATTTTTAGGTCCATATAATGTCCATTTTTTTATGCATGCTCCTAAAATTTAAAGGACACTTAAATTCTATGTCATAGTTCTTTCTGATATCATTAAATTTTTCTGGCAACACGGTGCGTAGGAACTTAAATTTCAATATTATGTTTTCTAAACAGAGATGCTGTTACATTTAAGTAAATATTTCTGTCCTCCAATCATTATGTAAGAATACACTACTGACGATCCCACATGCTTCATTGCTCACATATTGGTATAATTATTATTTAAACAAACAATAGTTAGTTTTGCTATGGTCCGACTTCAATATTGTTTGCGAGTTTGCTTCTAGAAACTCGTTCATGCGAAAAATAATATGCAAAAATAAACACTACACCCCAAACTAATTAAACAGCAAAATAAGACTCAAAGAAATAAACGGGGGCACAAATTAAATGAATTTTAATAAAATGCACACGTTCATAACAACATTCATAACACTGTCAGTTGTCAGTTCTAGTCCATTAGTCACACGTCTACAACGTCAAAAAACCAGCAACATCAGCGACCTCTAGCACTGGTTGTAGTTTGAAGAGAGATAAATATATCTACAGATCAATGTAAAAGAGGCAGAAAGTCATATATGTAATTTAAATGGACTACCGGCTGTTATCAGTTTAATACATTTTTTTACATTACAACTATTATAGTTGTATAGTGTCTATCATTCATAAACCGCATGCCAGCTTCTCAAATAAACTTACTCACACAAACCATCCCCCCTCAGATTAACAGCTATCTCCTTTCTAATGCGACAGCCGATATTACAGCTCTGTCTGCGTAATAATAAACACAATTTGAACGATTGCAATAAAAAAGGGCTTAATTATGAATGAATAAATTAGTCTTATAGATTTTCGTCGTTGGGGTATACTTTCTATAAGATTGTCTATTTCTTCCTGAGAAAGATCACTCCAATCTTCAAGAACTGTTTGAATCTGTTGCTCTGTGGTTTCTGGATTGTTCTAGCGAGTTCTAACCATTTTTTACGATATTCTCAAAAATGATTAACATGATTAGTTAGTGGAACAAGCAAACTAGTCTAATACTCTTACACCCTCCATCTCCAAAGCAATTTTGGCACATCTGCTGATGTGCGGTGGGGCATTATCCTGCAAAGTTGTATTATGGGACGTAGTACCAATGCGCAGTTAAAGTTTTTGGCATGGGGATTAATGAAGGTCCTTCCCGTAACATGATCTCGCCCCAAAACACGAAATCATCGGTCATTAGATCCTGGTTTCGTCCTAAAATATGTCGTTTCTTCTATCATCCAATTTTGGTGCTCCAAACACCAAATTAATCAATTGTTTGTATTTAGTCTGGATAGCTGTGAAACTCTTAATTGTCTCCTACTAAACAATTATTCTGTTGTTATTGTCAAAGACTGGGTGATTCCATATAAGTTTGATTGTGATATATTTTCAGGAGCGTCCGTTATGACCCTTTATCTCCGTAGGAAGGGCTGTAGGAAAAACCAAATAGGAATTTGTATCTTATTTTCATGTTTTGTCTAAATCCGGGAGATTGCCACATATCCTAGGACATCCTGTATAAACAAAAACGAATTTCAATTTTAAACTTTAGAGGCCTTTAACCCAGCAAGGCTCATAGTCAAAATATCAATATTTTTAACTAAAAACTTATGGGATGAACTTCCCAGAAACTTATTTTTTTTATTTTTTTAGGTTATTACATCAATGGCGACATATCTGGTAATGTTAATGCAATTTCGACTCTCGCTGATGAGAAATGCTGCAATTGCTACGAGAAGGGCTGCAATAGCAAATATGACGGCAATGGCAGAACAACAGGCAGTAAATCATTAGTTGTAAATTATTCATAGTTTTACATTTATTTATAACAAAAATTTGCACTTCTACAGAAGTTATAAACTCGTAATAAACAATAATTAAAACTAATATTTATACCTTATTTTTTTACCCCTGAATTAATACCAATTATATGAAGCATCAATTTAAATTTAATACCTAGTGGATTCACCGTAAATGCTGATAAGTTTGCTACTTACGCCCCAGTATAATTAATAATACAGTAGCAAGAGCTTGAGTCGGCTCCTTTGATGTCGGAGTGGTCAGATTTTTATTGACAGTTGACGTTTTTGTCGCTTATTTCTACACTAAAAAAAAGTAACTTTAAAATATCTTGTCCCTTTGTCCTTTTGAATAATATATCACACAATAAATGAAAGATGAAAACTAAGTCTAAATATAATAAAAATGTATTAAAATTGTGCATTACAACCAATCAGATAATACATTGAAAATTCAAATATGCCAGTTTGACGTATTTGCCGCGAAAAACGATGTTAGAAAGATACTACATGAGGAGACGTCTCCAACAAGAATATTTAAAAATGCTATACAGAAGTATTGAATACAATTTATCAACACAAGTGTGACACAACAGTGTACAACATTTAATGTGGTAAATACAAGAAATTCAAAGGTGGAAAACAATTGTGAAAATTAGCAATTAAAAACAATGGTAAAATGGAAATAGAAACGTTAAATATTAACAATACATAACAACCAAACACAGGTTGTTACTAGGAAATAGGAATAAAGTCGAGCATGTTTATGTCAATAATGACTAAAGGTGACAATAAGTTGTTACAATTGGAATAAACATGGTTGTTCAATAAACTACACTTGCAGACTGTCCAATAGTGGGTCGGCAAGGATCTTAGGTGCAGGAAAAACGAGTTCGAAAAGCTGTTGGAAACAAAAACCACCAAATTGATGGGGTGGTAGATCCAATAAAGGAAACAGAAAGTGAAAGTAAAGGTATTGGTGATGCCAGGAAAGATAGAAGGTAAGCAACACCAAAAGAAGTACAAGACAGTTAAAACCCGGATAAAACCAAGGTTAACTGTGAGTTCGCTAAAACAAATGAACATTATCACCTAATGCAGATTATACCATAAAAGAGATTAAAACGTACACCTTCCCCAGCACGCTAAACAAATATCACCCTATACATAAAATATACATTTTCTATTTTAATATACATATAATATTTTGATAAACAGTAGATTCTATTCATAACTTCATCTTCGATAAATGTAAATATAACATTAGACTCGACACGTACTGACCTTAATCGATTAATATAGAAATCGGCTAGGTCAACAATAATGGCACTCTTAGTTTGAGTTTCATCATCGTCTCGCATCCCATTAGAAGAAGTTTAGCCTTTGGTAAGGCCCTTTTTATATTATTGTAATATTTTGGATATATTATTTATCTTTAATAAATTGTTAATTGTTGTTCTACTCTTTTATTTCGCCAAGTTAGGTAGCACATAGAGTCACTAAATAAAATAGCTCGTGACAATAATTAAAAATTTAAATAATACAATAAGCAAAATTACAGTACACTGCATAGAAGTGTGTTCTAAAATAGCGTAGTATGATATGAGCAAGCGCTATGAAGACTAGAAATAAGAAGGCCAATAGCAATAGTCAATATCAAATTTCCATCCTTCTTTTTATAAAGTTAGCGAAATTGACTGTAGTTGGCATGTCGAACAATATGCTGTCAATTTTCTATGTAAGTCAATGTAAAATGTAGTGTTTTTTTTAAATTGGTGAAAAGAATCAAAATAATGTGAAAAAAAGTACCGGAGTACAAGTAACATGAGTGACAAAAGCCATCAAAGCAAGACTTGCTTCGTTCCAGATTAGGAAATTAATTTAATATCTTTTTAAAGCTTCTAATATAAGTAAAACAATGTATTTATGTCTAAATATAATATTTATTGTAAACTAGTCACAACACGTATCACGGAGTGTAGTTTATTTTATAACAAGTTTCTATAAAATAAAATTTTAGTCATAGATCCTGACTTGTATTATAACAATAAAAAAATCTGTTAACTGTGTTTTATTTTGGTCTTTAAACTATATTTAGGTATACTTTAAAAAAATTTAAACACAAAATTGTACTTACCAAATTTCACTATTTAACAAATCTTTGCGATTTGGTCCTACCTACCTAATTTGAATTTTATATAGATAAAATTAAATAATTTATAAGTTAAAACATGCGAGACTTATTTAGAAATAAATGCAATAGTATATTCCGAGCTTTATTTGGCAATAAACAAGTTTATTTTTATTATTTTGACAAAATTATGTAAAATTCCCATTAGAAGCCATGCATTTTAAACAGCACTACTAGCACTAGCGCCCTTGCGGTGAATAAAAAAGCTCGATTAGCGTTCTTCTCTCTAGTTTTCATAGCATTCGCTTAAAGTCCACCTTCCTACATATAAAGGTATTAAAAAAATAGTTTTAATACTTGATCTCATGATAGCAATGGACCATTCCCATTATTGATAATCTCTATTACTCATGCGCAAATTCTATTTCCGCTTAAAATCATCAAAATTTATTGTCGTTATGTTTTCTACTTTGAGTTTCATTACACATCCGCTAATGTCATTGTGCCAGTGTCACTTTTAGGTGTTATTTGTGAAAGGCAAAATTACAATTATATCATATATTCTTACATTAAAGATATTTCAAAATATGTTAAATATTTTTAATATTTCTAAAAGATTTATTTGAAATATTTATAATTAATATTATATAAACATTTTTAACTGAAAAATAAAAAAAAATATATATATATTTTTTTGTGATTGCCTTAACCCCTCCAATTTGCATCTGGATCCGCTACTGCCCCCATAGAAAGTTCCAGCGTCCTCTGTTGCCGATCTAGGGAATTTTTTCGTACTTTTAGGGAATTATTTTCTTGGGCAATTTTAGTTTTAAGCACATAAATTCCACACAATAACTATTCAAAGAATATTATATAATTGCATTAATTTCAATAAAAATAAGCTATATAGAATCGCATTTTTGTTTATTTTAAATCTAGTAGTTTATTAATGATGGTCACTCTAGTTTGGCAACACTTCCAGCGCCCACTGGGGACGCCATCGGTATCGCCCCCGTAGGGGACCTACGGTTTAAACATTGGGTCACTGACAACACTTTTCCAGTTTTCATAATATTTCCAATATTAGATTTAGATATTGTTGAGTGTTTACAAAAATTTATATGCGAATGAAGTACTTAATTTTACTTAATTTTAGCCGTAGCCACTGATTAAAAATTATTTTTTAATTTCAGACATCTTCCCTAAGCACTTGTGCATCTAATTCTGAATCGTACTGTATAAAATATTTATATTCATAACCAATTAATCGAATACAAATAATGTAAGAGATATTAAAGTTTAATGATGAAAAGATATATATTTTTTTAAATGCGACTCTGCCTATATTTATTTTTCTTCCATCAAAGAATTGCCAATTCTAAATAACGACCAACAATAATAATAAAATTTTATTTATAAACTGTTTACTGAAATTGAATTTTCATTTAAAACTGGCATAATTGTGTGTGTGACGGCCTCCCAGGCATATACTATTACCCCGTCTGGTCATAGGGCACAGCCACTCGACAATAAAATTTAATCGCCAATAGAATTCCAACAGGAATAATTATGAATCCATTTCAGCAGTATATACATTCCAACAAATTAAATTTATTACGTAACATCTGCTCCGAAATATTTTATATTACGTACGTACTTTGAGTGAAGCTGATGAATCTGATCTCGGCGAAATAATTCGATAGAAAAAATATTTTATGTAGTGTCTAACGTCTGGCAGTTAATTTGAGGCCATTGAAACGAGGAATATTTATTGGAACACAGTAATTTTAATATAGTGCAAGACAGTTCATAGACGATTATAATTATAGTGTAAAATTGAACAGCAAAATACGCATACAGTTTAAAAACTAAGAATTTATCACATGTAATAAATACCTCTGGATATTAAATTATTTCCAATTTTTTTTTTTCGATATTATGAACATTTTCAAAATTTTCTTATTATATTCATGACCGAGGACCCGCTATCTTAATTAAATTAGAATTAAAATAATCTAAACCATCATTCCTAATTTAATTTGGATAGTAAAAATTTTAAACAAACCATTTAATTAACCAAAAATTATAATTTTATCAAAAATAATTTATTATAGAAAATAATAAATCGAATTTAGGCAATGTAGTTCCTTATAAAACTAATCTATCCTCTAGTATGTATATAACCATTGACTGACCATTGAGTTATGGTAACAGGTTAGCCAATATTCCAAGCATATATGGAAAACATGCCATAATATTTTAATAAAATATACATCTTTAATAAATCTTTCATATTCCAGTAAGTTGGTTTAGGTAACATAACACATGACACAAAAAACACGTTAAATGCCAAAAATATATACTCTAGTTTTTAAACTGGTTGGCAGCGCTTATTCTCGCCACTTTTCCCCCAGAATTGCAGCTGGATTAGACTTGCAGCAATGACTTTTCAGTGTCATTATTTCCTTCAATTGTAAAAAAAAATTGCAACAGCTGATCAAAAGGACGTTAATGCGTATACGTAATATACGAATTGTATCAATTTTACATCCAGGTAAAGAAAATTGCAAACTGTAAAGTGGCTCTTACACCTTAAGGCAGATAGCCATAAAAACAGCGTTCACAGAAGTCTGTCCCTTATTAATATTCACTGCGCGTCAGAGAAAACGGGCCACCCAAAAAATTTACGAAATTATCTATCTTGTTAAGTTTCTTATTTTTTAATTACGTAAAATGGGTTAGTTTGCGGTACTTGCGAGGTCATGCCGACCCTGTAATGTTATGTTATGTTCTGTTGAGAATGGGGTGTTAATACACTGCGACCTAAAATATCTATTGTGCCCCCTTCTGTCGCCATTGCACTAAGGAAATGTCTCAATGCCTTCCAATCCTATTTTCTGAAGGAAGTGTAGGACTTGAAGGTAAATCTCCCT